TATAGGCAGTTCCGAAAGTTTGACAGTATCATAGAGGATAGGTAAAGCAGTCCAATGGGTGCCTCGTTGATCTTCATTTTGCGCTTGAAGTCCACGGTCGCGAAGTGCATCTTGATCTCCTTGAATATCCATTCGACGGTTATGCGCACTGCAGACATAGACGTGTTGAAAGCTCGCTGGGCTGGAGAGAGGTTCGAACCTTGAAAAGGGACCTCCATAAACCATCTGGGGTTGTATCCAGAGTCACCGTATAAACTGTATCTTACACCGTTCGCCTCTAGGACCGAAGGAATTGTTTCGTCAAGCTCGCTTCGTATATACAAGGTCCAATCGTGGCGGCGCCCTTCTAGTGGACCGTACACATGCTGAATCATGCCGTCAGGCGTATTTACAGCCTGGTACTTTAGCGCGTGATTCCTCTTGTGGCCGTTATACACTACTCGTTGCGCTAAATTACCCTTCGGGCGAGCTATAGCCAGCACTGTGCCGTCAATAAAGCCAACACAGTTGTCCATCGCGCTTCCTTTCGCATAAATGGCCTCTGCGTACATCGGCAATCTCTCTTCCATAAAGTCTTTGTCCAAGGGAGACGTAATCAGATGCTGTCGTTCCTGCACGAGGTGCTCAACAGCCTCCCAAAGAATCTCGGATAGCTGTGGCGCATGTTTGCCAAACAAAAGCTCCATGTCAGTCCACCTCGCAGGTGTCGCCAGCCGTTTCAATACAACGCAGCAAGACAGAATTGGTGTGACTGAGTACCGGTTGCGACGAGTGCAGGTCTTTTCTAACGGCCATCCCATCACCTTCATCATTGTTATGAGGTGCTCTGAGCGAAATCTAAAATGCAGAAGACACTCCAGGTCGCTAAACGCATTGAAATTAAATGTAAAATCAGTTGTGGAGATGCGGTTGCGGCGAGTAATGCAGTGTATGTAGTCACTGCGGTGGTGGACGTACACTCCGGTAACTTGGAGAAGAAGGCGGGTGGAAGATGGTAGAGACTCTCGATTGCGTTGTCGACGTCGCGCAATGGCTTGCAGCACGGCACGAGAATCGGAACACCGTTTTCTTGTCGCACTTGTGGCGTAGTCCTTTTGTCTGCATGGAGCCATGTTTGCAGTGGTGAGGCACTCGCGTCGTCCACCCCAGCCGACCCTTGTGTATGTAATACTCGCTGTGATACTCATGTGCCTTCCGGTTTATTGCAGCGTAAGCCCTATTTCAGATTTCACACATTACATTTCTGTATCACATTTCAGCATTCAGGGTTGCTGAAATTTGCAAATTAATTTCTCATTTTCTTTTTGGCGTAAGCTCTATAATGTGTAAGAGCATTCCCACCGGTACGCAATCAAATCATCAAATAACAACACTTGGCTTGGTTGTTTCGTTATTTGGCTGTTTGATGCTTCGGAAAGAACTGCCCCACCGGTGAGAACCAAATGAAGTACATTCCCCTCGTACTCACCATCGCATCCTTGTACTCACACTCGTACTCACCCTCGTATCGCACCCTCAGTCGTAGTCGCACGCTCACTCGAAACCCATCCCGCGACCTTCTCCCTCGCCACTCTGTCTGCACTCCTTCCCTCTCACCTCCACCGTGGACAAAGACAGACTGCCGGCGCTGTCCTCCCTGCTCACGGACAGCACGCGCTCCCCACGCGACCGCGAGCAGCGCGATCCCGGAGAGAACATACGCGCCGGCGGCAGCGGTGCTGCGGCGGATGATTGGCTCGACAGCCGCGAGCGACGTTCTCCTGCGGCGGCTGCTGCTGCTGAGCAGCGAATCGCACTGCGCTAGCACTGTCTGCGCTTGTGAACCTGTCGGAGGACGAGGAGCCGGCGGCTCTGACGCACGCGGACGCGGTGCGGCTCGCAGCGCAGGTGGTCCTGGACGCCGACGTCGTCGCGCTGCACGCGGCGCTGCTGTCCAACCTGACGCGCTTCGCGCCGGGCGTGGACGAAGCGGAGGGCGCGGACGGGTTTCGGGAGAGGGGCACGCTACTCGTGCTCGTGGAGAGGGTACCGAGTATTCCGAATGTGCTGCGGCTGTCGAATGCGTGCGCGAGCCAGGAGGGGAGGGACGTCCTGTTGGTCGAGGGAAGGCAGGCGGAGAGACAGCTGTTGACGAGGTTGCTGAGATTGCTGGAGGCGGGGGAGGCAGAGAAGAGGCTGGCGGGGGCGAGCTGGGTGCGGAACTGCGCGATGGCGGACGAGTGCCATGATGTGTTGGTGGGGGTACGGCGGCGGTCGCAATGTGCTTGGGGAGGTCAAAGGAGGTGGGACGGGAGGAGATGGCGGAGATTCGCGCCTGGTTGGTCGAGGAAGTGTTGTTGTTGTGTAAGAGCCGGGCGGGGAAGGACGCGCTCAGGGATGGCGGGGCCGTCGACGTTCCGGAGGGATGGAAGGGGGAAGAGCATCAGGGATGGCGGGGCCGTCGACGTTCTGGAGGGATGGAAGGGGGAAGAGCATGCACGCCGTAGTGAGCATTCTGGATCGGCGGGAGACACTGGTAATCTCGAGGCAAATACCGCATCGATGCACTTTTGGTGGGAAGCCGTTTCGGTGGACCAATAGAACGTGCACAACTGGATTGTCAAGGGTAATCAAACAGAGACCATCCGAACCAAATTCTTGATATTTGGTTCCGATTTTTAGATCGACACAAAAAATTTGATGATTTGGTTGCACCGGTGGGGATTTCAATCGACATCAAATCATCAAATTTTGGTTGTTGGGGTATTTGATTCTACCGGTGGGGATGCTTGATGAATCGTAATCCTCATGGGGGTGTCTTTACTCGTCGTCGCCGTCTCGTGGGTCTAAGTACCGCTGGTGACAGACTGTAATGCTGACAGTCTGTCCTTGCGGTCGGTCACGCGCGCACCTGTCAGCGTCTGATGAAGAGAGTTGCGGTCCGTCAGTCCCGGGGGACGCTGAGGGGTGCGCGTGAAGGTTGTTCCGGGGTGCGCTTTCGGATCGGGGCTGCGGGGT